ATAATTGGTGCTCCAGTATAATCGGTACCCCTGAAACTCATCCAGTGAGAAACGTTCCGCGGTGCAAAAATAAGTGCGATTAAAATGCGTTATTTTTTTTAACGCGTTAATTTTTGTGTAATTAATTAATCTTAATTAACGCGTTAAAGTCCCGGCCCTAGTTAAAATATATTACCTGATTCTAAATCAAATAAACTGATTATAATTGTTTTGGTGTTGTTTTTGAAAATGAGCCTGTACTGTAAGTAAACACACTCAACTGCCATGTAAGTAAAATAATGCACATATTACAGTTATAACACCGGACATGCAGATCATCTGTGGATAAAACCAGCATTTAGCGCATACTGTAGGTTGCTCTGAAATGTAGCACTTTCAGTTTAACCACTCTATCAGTTGTATTTAGGGTTTATACTTCAATTGTTTCAGTATTTAAGATGTTATAACATGTCCAGCAGCAACCCTTACAAGTTAAATTATGTATTTTGTATTTTAAATATGTCAAGGTTCCCTTCAGCTTTCATTTTAGCAGAATTCATTATGTCACACATACTCTACTACTGTCTGAGGATCTTAACATTACAACTATTACAAGATATTCTGTGTAAAGCATAGACTGTGTATACATGAAGGTGTAAAGGTAAGTGCCTGTTCTGGTGAGTAATAGGTGTTTCATTAAAAATGTGCTATAGTCTACTAAATATGTCCAAAGAAGCAGATTTGAACATTTGATCTGTTAAGTCCGTTACAAATATGTTTTTCAGTTCTTGCTAATGTTGAATATAAGCACTGACAAACTGCTCAGAAGCCAACAATCAAAATAAATGCTAGTGTTGCTACAGTTGTTGTTACACTTTGTTGCAAAATGAAGGAGAAACAGAACTTTTACGTAAAAAAGAGCAACTGCATTGTTCCATGTACATCCACTTAAAGAGCATCTTGCAGGTTTTTTACATTGTATTTCACCATTTGTAATCATGTTGCAGTATTGTGTTTGTGCAGGTTGCACAAATACCAGCCTGTCAGGACATCGAGTCCACAGTAAAAAGGACCGGAGCTAGCGTTCGTTCCTGGGTGCGTTGTGCATCCACCTCCCTGCAGCACATACTCTCCACAGCTTTATCAGGAAACCGTATTACTTCTCTCCCCCCCCCCCCCTCGCTGCTCTCCGCTCTCCGGTACACGGCACCGTAAGACGTAGTGTGGAGTTGCATTAGGTAACGCTGTGGTGGCTGTACTGCTCCAGCCGTCTCCTTTGTGTTTGTTTGTTTCCCCCTGTCTGTGTTGTTTGTGTGTGCGTGGTGGCTGTCACTCCTGGCTCCCGGCTCAACCTCCACTCACCTGCTGCAATCAGCTGTGCACCCTCCCCGACTACACACCTGCTTTCCATCAAGCCATTTACAACGGCATATCAACGGAGGCTCCACAACCTTTCTCCCCGCCAGATCGTCAAGTATCATCCGTATCTCGCGTCTCTCCTCCGGTACACAGCACCGTAGTGTGGAGTTGCATTAGGTAACGCGAGATACGGCTGATACTTGCGCATTAGTTTCTGTTATGGATCAGTATCAACAGTCCTGCCAGTAACGTTACTATATTATCAATGCTACTTTAGTTATCGCCTGATATATGATAGCTAACTTCACAATGTTGTGATGTGACGTTAGCTAACATTCTGTAGCTAACGCCGGTCACTCACCAAGATAGCTNATCAAAACTAAGGCCTCAGGATGACTTTAAGACTTGAACATGGTCATTTTTGTTTTGTAACATTGAATACAACATTTAAAAAAAAGTATTTAAAAAAAATAAATAAATAAAAATCTCGATCCCCGATTTTTTTTCTCCCGATTCCGATCTTTTGAAAATCACGTGATCGGATCGGGACATCTCTAATTATAATCATTTTTCATTTTACCATAACGCTTATAAATAATAATACATTCTCATTTAGATGAGCTGTTAAGTGAATTATTTTACTATTAATACTTATGTATCTCTCTTTTTAAATGGTTGTAGATATTGATGAATGCAAACAGGAAATGCACAAATGTGACAAAAATGCAGAATGCCAAAATGCCATGGGAAATTATCTCTGCAAGTGCCAGGCAGGATATTATGGCAACGGGAAGACATGTCAAGGTGTGTCTCAATTATTTGCACATACAATTTCTAGTGTAGAATATTAGAAAAACTGTGTTCGACAAGATTAGTCTATTTTGGATTGCTACTGATCATCAGGTGTACTATTGAAAGTATTAAAACAGTAGAGTTTTGTATCCAGTATGACACAATATAAATAACACTAGTACATATATCATTACTTGGCTGTAATATAATCCCTTTTATCATAAATATGATATTATGTTTACACGACTCACCTAGAAGAAGGACTAGTATTCTGGACTACGAGTACATTTCTAAGAGGGGAAACGGTGCCATACTGTATAGTTGTCCAATTAACGTGATTATTTCCCTAAATCCTCTCAAGAGTTGGAGACCACGACACCATGGCTGATGACCGGTAGTCCAGCTGATGTCACCACCGGGCACAACAGTAACTCAGTAGAGAGTTGCCCCTCCTCCCATGAGTCCTACTGTCTGTACCAGGGTGTCTGCGTCTACTTCCCTGAAATGGAGGCCTATGCTTGCAAGTAAATAACCTCTCTTTACCCCCTAGTATGACCCCTGACCTACAAGTTTAACAGCTTACTGACATCTTGTCTACACAAACAGTGCTCGCTTTCCTAAACTGAAATCCTTTGATCATCTTCTGTAGTAGATGAGTTCTGGTTTATATATTTTAATTGCACTCTAAAGTATGCAGTTACTCAAAAGTAATCAGGGTCATATTAAGCTGATTTCTTAAAAGTATTTTCCTTTTCAAACAACATTACACAAACGCATTGGAATTGCATTTTGCAGGTTCTTTTGCGTCTTATTTCTCATATAATGTACTACACATGACAACCCGTAGGTGTCACTGTTGTTTCATGATTAAAGCCATTGCCTCAACACAAAGTGGCTAAAGGACAGACAATTCAGAATGTAACTTTTTTCTTATTGAAACACGTCTACAAGTATCTACAAACACATTTTTGAAAACCTAAATGTATTTAACATTTGTGTTTTTAAATAAATGTTGCTTTGCGTAATATTTATCGTGTCATATGTACGTGTGGAAGTTAAACTCTTCCACACTCACTTTATAATAGACTGTGCCAATGGACTACACACTCAAGCTGTCTTCTCTCCTGCTCTAGTTGTGCACCAGGCTTTATGGGGGAGCGTTGTCAGTTCAGTGACCTGGAGTGGTGGGAGCTTCAGCAGGCCGAGGAGGAGAAGAGGAGGAATGTGGCGATCGCGGCCTGCATGGTGCTCCTCGTCTCCCTGCTCTCCATCGCTGCCTGCGCCACCTACTGCTACGGGTGAGAGGGGGGGAAAGACCAATCAAGGAGAGAAAAAAAAGCATGATAAAAAGCCATAATAAAAGGAAAGGTTGGGAACAGAACAAGACAGGGCAAGAACATCAAACATCAAAGCAAACAAGTTCAAAGGAAAATGAAAAAAAAATGAAGTCAAAGAAAGAAAAAGACGGCAACAAAAAAAACATAGTGGTGACAATGGCTGGAAGAAAAGACAGTGGAGACGGAGTTTAGCTGCAGAAGGAATGATTGTAGCCAAGAGGGAAAACAAGAATATTAAGTTTCAGTTCTAGGGAAATATCCATAGAATGCGAAACATTAAAATGAACATCTGCTTCTAAAATGTTGTATAATTAGCCTTTATGGGAATGTTTACAATTTTCTCTAGACTATATTCCAGATTCCTGAAGTGGTTATCCCAAAGGATAATATGATGCAAAGAAAAACTAACCTTGCCGAATATAGCAAGTAATTGTACATGAAGGAGTCCTGTTATGGTTTTGATAGTTCTTTTAATGATAATGGTTAAAGCTAAATAAAAGATCTGCACATATTTAATGTTGGAAGCATTGCTGTATTATTGTATATAATAAGCATTGTTGTGTTGAGTCTTCTGGACACTGAAAGCCCAGAGCAGCGCAGAAGGGGGAGGAGCTGCTCCAGCGATGAATGAGCTGACAGCATTTAGAGATGTCTATCAAACCCAGGATGGCATGAGCCGTGTAATGTAGGAGTCTCCGTCTGACAGCAGGGGGTCACATGTGGAACGAATGGCAGCACGCAACCCTGGTTAGTGGAGAGGGGAGCATACGTAAACTACACACTGCCACCCCTCCTCCCTGTTATTTCCACCTGAGCTGTCTCTAAGTAGCTGATTTGTTTTACGGTTGTTTCGCTGGCTTATGGACAAGGCCGTTGGCATTCTCCACTCCTTTGAATCACAAAGCACACCCCTCCCTTCCACCTACGACATCTCAACGATTTGCACTCTTGGTTCCCCTGTGGAAGTGGCACGCTTTCAATTACATGCTTGGTTTAGCTTGTTCTACAGCAATTACACATAAAAATAGGTCATTTCTCAGCTACAGAATGGAGCCGCTGAGGTATGACCCCAGAGGAAACGCTACATGGCCGCCAATAGCTCTTCTTCAAATTGCCTTCTGCACTTGACTGCAAGTGCGCATGCAGAGGAAACTAAACCAGCAAACTCAAACACTGTGCAACACATACACACAAATAATATATCATACAGTACACAGTGATGTAAAAAAAAAGCTTGTTTCTTTTGCTGTTTTTTTTCCAGTTCAAAATTCGAATAAATCCACTTAAAGCATAGACATATTAACTACAATGTTGAATTTAAACATAATTTCTCTATACAAAGGGCACGTTTTTCAATTGATAACCATGTAAACACCATGCAAGTCTGTGAATATTTGTGTACATGTTAAAAAAATTATAATTTACAATACTGCATGTTTGCTTTCTCTTTCTTCAACGCAGAACTAGAACATTCTTCCACAAACAGCCCTCAGTGGATAATGTGAGTGAGACCAGCGTGACGGATGAGAGCATGTCAGAGACCACCACCACCAGCGTGCCTGGGGTAAGACCATCGTCACAAGATCTGTGCTAAATACATCTTTAAGTAAAGAAAGTCATCTAATGCAACAGACATAAGTTAAAGTAGAGCCATCATGGTCTTCATGATATCATATTTCAAAGCTCACTTTAAAGAAAATAGAAACCCCAGTTAAGTTAAATCCAACTTAACATATAAATACTAGCGAGCAAGATGTCAGAATAAGACTCAAAAAAACAACTGATTTTGAAACAACATGGATATATAGTTCTAGGATGTTTATAAAAACCTCACACATTTTGACGAATACCTGTGTGTATCTGCAGTTCTACATGGTGGCAGAAAACGGCATGATGGGAAAGATCATCCCTGCGATGGGCTGTCCCAGAAGAGCCGTCTGTCCATCCTGCTCTTCAGATACAGGTACCTGAAACAAATAAAAACTCCTTGGCGTTAATCTTTGCACACAAGGACGTTAGTAAATGTTCTTGTTAGCTTGTTATATTAATGATTATGTTTTTTTTTTGGCCAGGTGACATCCCTGTGTCTGAAGGGTCGGGAACATTGTCCCAACACAACAGAGGGTACGAGTGTTCCATGGTGTCTGCTGTTGCCATGGAGACCACGTATCCACATGTCCATCACTCAAGTCAATCACCGTCAAGCTCATACTGAGTGGTGCAGGGATGAAGGTGTTATGTAAGCCGACCGAGAAGTTTGCATTTGGAGGAGCTCCCTCGAAAAGCCATTGGATTTTCTATTGGATTTTAGATAATTGCAGAAAATAAGCTCAGTGACAAATCAATGTCTATGATACGTAAGGATAATCTCCACTTATTAACCCTGCTTTCATAATTGTTGTAAATGCAATTGCTACGAGTAGAAGCTAACGTTAGGCTATGAAGGAAGTGCATCACAGTCCCATGGCTTCACGTCACCACTGCTAAGCTAAAGGCGGACTGGAGTTCGGATTGTTAACGTTAAATTCTTTCATTTAGTCAGCAACCTCCATTTTACAACGCATAGAGACTCACCAGTATGTTGCAGAACAAAATGTGAAACACTCTTAAGCTTTGGGTAACCACAAACTATGCTAACCAAAAACCCATTCAAAAAAACTGATAAAATGTGAAATCATTTCCTGGATACAGGACTCATTCCTGCACCACCCGATCCCTTTATTTCTTGAAGGTTTTATACAAATAAAACCTCACAAATGAAAGAAATGTCATGGAAGATGTTACTTAGTACCTAACCTAAATATATCTGCCGATTTCTTTAACATTCACATTTTAATAATGCCATGCCAGTTTATTAAAGCTATTGTAGACACATTTAAATGGAAGCACCAGATTAAAAAAGGATGATTGACATACATTGTTTTAATATTGCAAGATGTAGTGACGGCAGTTTGTTTGACCAGTAAATCAAACTGGACGTAAAGTTATGCAAGTTTGAAGGAAACGATATGGCACTAGACTGAGCAATACAAATGTAGTCTATAATGCCCCGTTTTCTGAAATAAAGTATTCAAAAATGAAACCTTCTGCTCTAACATTTAGGTCATACTAATAATGTGGCTGAAAATAGCGTCATGTAAAAAAAACATGGTCTATGCCTTTATCAAAAAAGCTCCAAAGTAGATCAAAAGTATGTTATCATATTATCAAGTGTTATAACTGGGCAACATCTTGTTATACATTTCCGCAACAAAAAAAAACTTCCATCGCTTACTTTTTGAAATAAATCAAAGAATAAAGCTGTTTTTTTTTTTTAGATGGACCCATCAGAAAAACAGCGTGTTTGTGTTTGTGAAGCATAAAGCAAAAATACTGACAAAAAAAGTAACAGCAATTTTGTTTTATAGCTCGAAAGCACAGTTTTGCCTAATGTGTTTTCCATGTTTCTTTTACCACACAAGTAAACAGTACGGGATGGCCTACAAAAACGTTGTAGTGCAAGGTTTGTTGGGATATTTTTATGCATTTCAGCTTCCACTGAATAATTGACGTTGGTTGCCATCTCTAAGAAGGATCTCAATGTTTGTGCAGTCTTCTCAATAATGCAATGTGTTGTGTTTCCTGCGTGAGCAAGTCAACAGGTTTAACAATAACTTTGAGATACCATTAAAATGTATCTTCTCCGATAACAAATAACTGCTTCTGTTATAAAAAGGGATGCATTTAGTTTTAGTGTTTGGAAATCCCCAATGTTTGCCCAGTTGTTCTTTATTTCATGGATTAGTTTCATGTAAGACGGTTTTCCTTTAAGGCTGTTCTACTTTAAACTCCATGATATGTTAGATCCAGTTTGAGATTGTATCATCAAGCTGTGTGAAAGAATGTTTTTCGCATCTTGTCAATCAGATGTTGTGATGATAAAAATATAAAAACTGAGAATCTACTATATAGCAACCTGATCATAGTTAGCCAAGTTTGACAGCTTGCACATCAGAGCCTTAGCTCAACTAAGCTAACACGACTAACCTGGCAACTGTGATATTGTTAACAATTGTATATTTTTATTTTTATACAAAAGTGTTAACGTGTGTCAAAGCAAAAATGTATATGTACACATTAAAAAAAATGAGGTAGGAGAACACTGAGCTGGATAGCCGTTTAGTTGAGGACTGAATGTGATAGCTTGGTTTCAAAGGGAGGGAACTTGTAGTTGATTTCCGTTTTGTTTCTTTGAAGGTTTTTAAATCTAGACAAGCAAAACTATGGTAATATATATATATATTTTAAATACAACCACCTTCAAGAGAGTTGATTCACACTGTATTCTATTATATTTGTTTCAGCCCCTACAGTATGTGGTATAACTGGAATTACGAAATTGCAAGATTGCCATTTTATCCATCAATAAAACTATATTCACCAAAATGGGCTTTGTTAATAACTGCAAAAATGTTTGCGTCAACCCAAGTTAACTGTCCACATAAAAACTATTTTCATTACTAAATGTTTGCCGTTCCTTTTATCATACCCTTTCCATAGCATCATACACTTTCTAATTATATTATTTGTTCTTATAATTGGAAGATTATTTTGGCCATTCGCATCTCGTCTCAATTGCACTTCACCACGCTCTTCTCAAGCTCTTGCCCCTGCTCCACTGATGATGCTTTTCTATCCTCCACCAAATCTAACGCTCTAGTGATGTTGGTACCGGAGCTGCAGCCCTTCACTCCCACCACCCCATCTGTCACTTTCTATTTCTATCTGTGACTGCCTGTGACTCCGTCTCAAGGTTGACTGAGGATTGTTATTAGAAGCACCCATGGCCTCTTTGTTTCGAGGCGATGGCAGAAAACAAAGCACTTTAACGCAAAAACCATCAGGGGCCACATCGATATTGATTTTCCTGGCAAGACACACTTATCTATATATTGGCCTCCATTAGGGCTAACTGATAGGTTAGCCACCACTCTAAAACAGCGGCGGCTCAGCCTTCAAGTCAAGATCAAATTGGGCCCAGTGTCAATTTATCTTGTATTACTCCTCAATTGGGGCAACAGGGGGCAATAGAGTCACATATGGTGTAAATAACAGAGGCCTTAAAAGGTACTCCGCGTTGTATCAATCTTCTTGTTTAAATACTTTCATAAATATACACTTACATCATTAGGGTAACCTAGATACAATTAATGCAGTCTAAAACAAGAGTTTTGGAATACATTGGGAAGAAAGAAAAAGCTCACTTTACATATAATGCAAAACACAATACATCCTCAACAATAATGTTATGAAGTATGTATAGTTCCAACAAAAACTAAAACTAGTTGTAGCTAGGTATTCTACTTATTTGCTACTTCTGTAGGCCAGCAACTGATATTAGAGCTGACATTTACCGTCGCTTTTAGTAAAAGAGGGAAGGTTCTTGCATCAGATCAGAGAGCTTGCGGCTACCAGATGTAATTCAAAGCTCACACACCCCTCATAATGCATACATTAAACTTGAATATAATAGAAATTAGGTATTCAAATCAAAAAACGTTTTGGTTTTAGTTTTTGCTTCATACTTTAAATATCAAATAAGAGGGGTGTTGTGAAGGGTTGAATGGATCAATGGATGTCTGGTAGAAAAACAGTAAGAAAAAGGCAACAAATTATTATAATAGAAGGTACTAAAAGTAAGTTTAATGTGCATATTTAAAAACTATAGTGTTTTCTAACAACACAAAAATGCATAGGTAACTACTACAGTAGTTTCAAATCTTCACTATTGGCTAATTGTGTATTTTCCTGCCAGATGGGGCAAGCTTTGCTTCATCGCTCACGCCTCCATCCCAGCCCGGAGGACAGCTGATGAGGGCTAAAGAAGGAATTAGCTACCCACTCAAAGGCTTTGCTCTGATCCTTCAGGTCAGTGTTTGCTCCCTCCAGCTCTTGAGCAGGACAGAGTAACACTAGTTTGCAAGGATTTGGGAAGATTTAAAATCAAAAAGTGTGGGGGGGGGGGGGGTGGGGGGGTCTAATGCATGTATTGGACTCAGACACATGAGCCAGAATCTATGGATGCACCACAGAGGAGGAAAAATCCCAAATCTCTCTCAGTTGTGTGTCTCCTGGGAGCTAGTTGGAGGTAACATTTGGAGTTTTAAAGCCTAACGTATTATACTTTCCCTCAAGTGACAGCTAATCCCAAGATAATGTATATCAATTAGCTTTTCCTTTACAACAACTTCAAAACATAGCTTTAAAATGTTGATTTCCAAATAACCAGGAGATAAAAGGCTGTATTTGAGCATTTGTGTGCAGGCAGAACTTACATTTATAAATGTTTTTTATCATAAAACCCCGAATAAGATTCACAACTCTTATTCATTATGTTTAAAAATAGATATTCCCATGCAAACTTTAAAAAAGAATAACAAAAAAAACGACATTTTCGGCAGGTTAAAGAGATGTTAAACATTTGAAGACATCATCGGACTGTAAACTCCCAGCTAAAACCAATGCTCACCATCTCAGTTTTTTTGAGCAGGTGATGCATTCAGGGTGACACCGAGCCTTGTTTTCATTATTCTGGTCAAATAAGAATCATCCTTGTTACTCTAAAATAAATGACAATGACTAACGAGACAAGCCATAATGTGATTGTGGTCCAATGGGTATTTCTGAAATGGGTCCAAAACAAAGTTGCTCTTGCAGTTTACATACTCACTCTAAGAGCTGGTCTTACAGCCAGGACACAAAAAACATGACAAAAAGTAAAAACATGAGAATTTTAGAGTGAAATCATACAAGTAATGGTGGCGTTGGGTGCAGTGGGTTGTGCGTTGGTGTTCGGATCAGATGGTCACAGGTTCAAACCCCACTGCAGTCAGCATGTCGTTGTGTCCCTGGGACACTTCACCCCAAATTGCTCCTGTGGGGATTGCACACAGTATTGAGTATGTAAGTTGCTTTGGATAAAAGCGTCTAACAAGTGACATGTAATGTAAAAAGTAATTGCAATTGTATTCCACCAGGAATACTCAAAGGAAAATATGTCTGGGAATACTAGGTGTCATGGCCATTGTGTGCCAGCAGATGGCGATAGTGCACAGTGAAAAAAAGTCAACTTTCAGAAACTGTGACAGGAATATTTATATTATCAGTAGAAGTTTTATACAGTTACATGTAAATGGTCGTTGCCTACTGTTGCCTTTAATGTGCAAGCAAGTCTGACAGGACTGAACTGTTTGAGTGTAGATTTATAAAAACAGTGATGTTAGATGAATCACTTCAATTAAATAATACACCTTTTGTCTGTTCTGCACATCTCAGCACAGTAAATTTAGCTGTATATATTGGATGGGATTACCAGGGCGTTAACCATTTTCTGGCATAGAGCAGATAGATCTTTAATTTGTCATTGTACAGGTACAACGAAATTACAATGAACTATTATGGCTGTCTACAAATGTGATATAAATCAATATTAGTAATCTATTCTCTTTTGTATGAAACAGGGTCAGATCCTCATGACAATTGTTCTTTCATTTTCTGAGACTTTTTTCTCAGAATTCTGACTTTTACAAAAAAATGTAATTGTGCAAAGCCGTTACAAAACAAACTCTGAAATATGACAGAAATGTTTTCTTAATAGTCCATAGTTTGCAGACTCACATGCCTGACTTATGTCATTTCAAAAGCTTCAAGTGAGTCAGACCCATAACATTTGAATTATTATTTTTTTTTTTTTAAGTTCACAGCAACTTTATGTACTTCAAACTTCAAACTAGTTGACTGATACTGAACAGAATGTAAAGCCTCCAAGTGTTCATATATTTTGCACCCTGCACAACAACATTCACTACATTAAATGTGACAGTCACGTAAAACAGGAGGTATGTTAACAGAGGGTACTAAAATGTACTCTGTGACAAAAACAGAGACAATCGAAAAGCCTCTACCTCTTGGTTGAGACGACATAATCCTAAAACTCAAATTAAAG